GGGGGGGGGGGGGGGGGCAGACCCTGTATTAAACTCTAGATATAGACCAAAGTAATCACACAAAATATATAGTCCCATGTATTTCGTGGAGTAGGGTGCAGGTAGTTGGACTGCTACTATTGTGGAATAAACACTTGTGTATGGAACAAGCACCAAGCTTACTCATCACTACATGACACCTTAATTTTTTTCTTGGATATTTGTTTTCCAGATTACAGTCAAGGTGTGTGACACCTGTTAAGGAATTATTGGGTATAGCTTGTACTCTTGAGTATGTTTTCAATTTGGTTTTTATATGCACTATGTTGCTCATAAATTATGTATAATGCTGACTATAAATAAAACATCTCCACTGAAATGCAGAGAAGAAAATACTCGACTGGAGTGACGGATTTTAAAAAATTAGTTTAAAGACGAGCTTGCGTGTCAGTGTTAAAGAGTTTGATTATTCCAACAGCAAAATGCACTCAACAGGCTTTTTGTAACTGCTATCCACAATTACTGGCAAGTGTGTTCTCAATACAGCAGAGTTGTGTATGTGTGTATGCGTACTATGCATTTGTGCATGTGCATGTGTGTGTGTCTTAATGTGTGCGTACTTATGTGGGTGTGTGAATTAGGGACTCTGTTCACTTTCTCTCTGATCTAACTCAAAGAATTTAGATAAAACTTCAGAAAGCAGACCATTGATCTAACACAAACGTACAAACACAGCTTCTATACATCTTCACAACTTCTGAGGAAAAAAAATCCCATTTAAATTGACTTTTTATTTATGCACCAAAACCAACGCCAGTTTGTTTTTTTTTAATCTCTTTCTATTGCTCTACCTTATCTGACAGGACCACTCTTCCTCTCTATCTGAAGGTGTATTAAAATAAACCATCCAGGCTAGGTCGCGGAGTCGTAATCTCATCACGACGTCCCCCCATGTCAATACCTCTATCAGCGATAGCAGCACTCTGGGGACTACAGCTTCATGACTCACTGGGCATACAAAACCTAGGGCCATTGACTTATTTGAATCAGGTTTTTTTATTCCTTCTATTTATGAGAAAGAAAATAGTGTCTGCTGTTCCTGAAGGGTGTATAGAGTTGTCTAATTTCATAATTTCATAAGAAAATTAGCTTTCACGATAGGACTGAACTTGTTCCATGTCTGCTATATATGGTTTCCAGCTCCTCACTTTCCTGCAAACACCCTTCATTTCTGAAGCCACTGGAATCTCTCCTTTTTTAATTGTATACTAGAAACAGCAAAGGTAACAGACAGATTTTTACAAAACCCCTTCACATATAATGACAACTAAGTGCTAATTCCACTTGGAAAGTAATGACACTTCCTAAAGAAAAAATTAAGAAGTAATGAGGAGTTTGCTAAGGTATTCATTCACAACTACAAATATTCTACACATTTCTACAGTTGCTGTTTTTTAGATGTTATTCTATTGTTGATATGCTAAACAGCAGACCTTTCACAATTCATTAGCCCAATCACTTTATTAAAAACCTGCTTTGTGTCTACTTTCAATGTGTGTATGTCTGTGTCTGTGTGTGTATGAGAGAGAGAGAGAGACAGAGAGAGAAAGCAGTCTAGGTTGAGCTAAAGCCAAGGTGCTGCAAGCAGCCTAACCTGCAAGCAATTTAACAGTTCCAGTCTGCTCCTATCCCACATAATATGTCCGTTGATCCACTTAATACACACTAGATACCTATAAATGTTAACTACCTCAACTCTTTAGGATACAAAAATCTCAGGTAGATTCCTCCTTCATGCAAATATATTCAGGGCAAGGCTGAAAATGTATCTTCAATAAATGTAAATGTTATAATCACGTCCCCTACATAATAAACAAGGTGAGATAAATTGATGCATTTAGCACTGAGCAGCACACACATCATATTTGCTGTGATGTGTTTATTTTGAACTTAAGCATTACGAACATCTTTATATAAACTTCCCTCAGGTAAGACAGAGATGCAATTATAATATACCTACTAGTATATGAATTTTCTCATTTTACTAATAACCCTTTTGACTTTTTGACCCTTTTGACATTTCTCATTCTTAAATGTGCTCCTTTCAGCATGTGTATAATGATCAACACTGCAGTCATTTATTATCATTATATAATTATTATTATTACCTGCACATCTAATGAAGATATTCTTGGCTCGCTTATCCATGTTTGTGGCAAAAAAAAAAGAACCCACGTCTATGCATCATTACAAGATTCATATTGTCTAAGTTTAGTTTAGTCTAATTGGCAAAATTCCCTGACGAGGTGTTTTTCTCTGCCTAGAACAGCTGCCAGAAGCATGTCTAAAACTTGGCGAATTTCCTTTGAAAATCAGACGGAACATGTAATTGCTGATGTATAAACAGTTCTGGACTTGCTTAGAGTTACGATGTTCTTATTCCCTGGTGCATTTGTTTTGAAGATTATTTGAGGTATAATTTTTTTTAAAAATTATCTCAAGTTCTACTTACAGTTGATGATTTGAAGACTGCTGTATCTTAAGTTCCTCTCAACAAGAAGCAGCATACCAAGTGATACAGTTTGTACTAAAACACTTTGAGAGGTCGGATCATGCATTTAGTCTAAATTGGGGGGGGGGAGGTTCACTTTTAGTAGTTCCCTTACTACTTACTACTCTTTGGGTTAAAGTTAATTAAATGGCCCCAGAGAGCATGATAACTCCATTTAAGTAGTAAATCTACAAAGTAATAGTTAAGCTAGTTAATAAGTTGTCAATTTTTCAATCCATACGTAAGTATACCACTCAATCTGAAAAGGGCCTAATGTTTAATTCTAGCAACAGAGTGACGATGTATGAAATAGGGAAAGAGATGTTCAAATGCATATCTACAAGGAGGCAAATAAGTCCAAACTTTCCTACAGTCATATATCACTGAGTAGGTTTGTATTCCCATTGAAACGTAATAAAAAAATTAAAACCATAAAGTTATCCATCAAAGACTTTATTGACCCTGCAATTGCAGAGTGTGTGTGTGTGTGTGTGTGTGTGTGTGTGTGTGTGAGCGCACATGCGCATGTGTGTGCATGTGCGTGTGTGCATGCAAGTGTGCACATGCATGCACATGTCACATTAGTGTTTCTGTGTTATTTTTCATGCGAATATGCATGTGAGGTGTATATCAAATGGTCTGTCTGTCTGTCTGCATACGTGTGTGAGCAAAACTCAGAAAAGTCAATATCCCCACAGGCCTAATAAACACCCAATTAAGCAATTGGGAAAGCTAGCAAGGCAATGACCAATGCTGCACCTCGTCTGGGGGCACCTGTTAAATACATAATTGCCAAAGCAGTGCACGGCACAGTTGTCTTCCTTACAAACAAACGGAGGAAGTACAGAATTCGGGTCTAAAACATGCCAAGGAAACGGCAGAGTCAACAGTTCGATATCAAAAACATCTGGCAGGAAAAAGCTGGAAATAGCCGGAATTACGAATCACTTACTTTCCTATGACTTCCTGCAGCTCGTATATATCATCGAATAACACTTCTTCATCAGCCATTTTCCTTGCTTGGAATCTACAAGATCAGAAACAGGTCGTGAATGTTCATTTCATGGTGACCTCCCCTAGGAAATAGGTCAATCTGCAAATAGCGGACTTGGCAATGAATGCCTTGCATTTCATTAACGCTTACTTCGTTCACAGCCCACCTACCAATGTGAAACCTCTAGAGCATTATCCTTAAAAGGCGAAGTGTGTCTCAGGGAATTTATATAATCCTTTGGGTAACAGGTCTTTTAGAAAGCACACGGTTTTAATAACGATAGCCGGGCGGCACGATCAAGTGGACGCCATTGGACGATCTTTCCGCAACACTGCATTCTGGGACAATGCTGCACATTTCTCAACCACAGGTGCGCCAACACTTGTCTCAACTAACACAATCCGCTGACGGTTCGCTCCTGATTCTTTGTTTGGTTCCAATGATGGGCACATGGATCTATGGATCTATGTCATACATAATTTGTCCGATTTCTTTTTCTTTTACATTTTTATGGACCATTTGGTAGGGGTGTAGATAGGGTGAGCGGATGTGTTGAAAGTCTAGTAGGTCCATGCACCACTTTCGCCCGCTTGACGTTGACTACAGGGAAAAGAGGAAAATCCCCCCTCCACCCACGCCATCCATCTTCCCGTCTATGTGTCAAAAATAATTCTAAGTGCATAATGGTGTGATTTCTTGATAATGTAAGTGCCCGATAAGTTAAACGTTGTTTGGCGATCAATAAAATTGACTCCCGCTTTGGGCAAACCGATTTAGCCCAAATCAGGGGCGGATCCAGAGATATTTTCTGACAGTCTTCCAAATTATCTTTGTTGATCCATCTTCCATTTTTGACCGTCTTCCGACAGAAAACATTAGATGGCTGACAATGTAAACCTGAAAATCTGACCGTCTTCCAGAAGACCCAAAAGACGGCCTTAATCCGCCCCTGCAAATGTGCATTGCAATTCTGTTTATAAATTATTTTCTCCATTGAAACAACTAGACCCTAAGAATCAAGCGCATCAAAACTGACCATCCTGGTTTTAAGCGGAAATGTTATACCTGTTCAGTTTCTCAACTGTTGGTTGTAACCATCATACTCTCTATCGACCGAAACTCCTTTAAGATCCGCCCAAGAGCCACAAGTATAAATAAAGCCAATCAATCTGGAAATACAATGCAAACAATTCAACAAAATCGACAAAAGCAGATCGAATCATTCTACCTGCATACGTAATAGTGACGACCTTTATTTACTGACAGAGGTCATGTGCGATCAATTTTATTCATAACGGGATTAATTGGAACTAAACAGCACAACCAACGCCGACGGCGTCGCACCTGACTGTCACAGAACGCCTTGCAACAATATGGCACGCGTTCTGGCCACTCTTTTCCTACTTTATGGGACACCTGCGTTCATCGAGGGTTCGCTGTCCACCTATGGTCATTCGTTCATAGCAAGAGGTTCTCATCTAGACAACGGGACGACCGTGATTGCCTCGCTGGAAGGGACAACAGAAGGACAGTGTATGACAGAGTGCCAGGCCAGCTCGCAGTGTGAGGCCACTAATTACGATACTTTGACTGGACTGTGCCAGCATCTTGACACGATCCCCGGCACCCCATCTCTCACCTGTAACGCTGACTGGGTGTACGCCACCAAGAAAAGTTTGACAGAGAGTCAGGTACGTGGAGAGAGAGTTTAGAGTTTCGAATACGGAGTCCTAGGCCTATTCAAATCGCATTTACAATTCATAGGCGGGTTTTTCAGTTAAACTCTTGAATTCTTTTTTAAAACTTCCAAAACACTGCCACAAGTCTTTTGCCATGACAGGCAGACTGACAGACAGACATTTTGATTACTCGAAAAGAAAAAAAAACCTGTATGCTACCTTTATTAGGCCTAGACTACTTTCTTTGGAAGCCATAGAGGCGGCGACCATTTCATTAATTGAAATTAAAATAATCTTTTTATCACTGGCCTTGTCAAACGGCTCTTAGCATTTTTTAAAATATATATTTCATTCACGAATGGTTATTATTTAGTAACTTAAAGGTGTTTTGTTTATATGATATTGACAAATCTCGTATCATTGCTGGACCCTCCGCTTTGTTCGACTTTTTGTTCTATTTAGATTTTGGTAATTTAGTTCTAAATGACAAACCAGCTGCAGCAGCCATGTCTTCCTATACAGTTCTGAGACACTATCGACATTATGTACTTTTACTTAAGGGTTTTGTGTAGATTTTAAAATCCACTAAATTGCGAAAGATAAGTAGCTTTGCAGGATATGTACGTAGAGATATATGAATATGACTTATGGGATTTCAAACGCGCACAGTAAGACCGTTAATTTTAGAAAAAAAGGTATAATACGAAATGCAGAATTGATTAAAAGTTTAGGTCTGATCGAATTTCGATACCAGTTTCTGTTTCATTTTCTCTCTCTCTCTCTCTCTCTCTCTCTCTCTCAATTATTCTCAATTTTCTTTTTCTTTTTTCATTTTGTTAATTAGTCAAATGATAACATTCAAAGCTAAATATCAACGAATTGCAGAATTATATATTTGGTACGAAATTACAAAGTGCCCTACTAAGTTTCCATGCGACAAAGCTTGATTTTTCCCCGTTGTTTGCAATTAGAATCTGCAAAATAAATGAAAACATTGTTCATATTTCTTTTACATCTTAATCGTAAGCGCCTGTTAATCAGTCATGTCTTTATTGTGCTTCTTGCACGCAAAGTATTTTTGTACATAGTGCATAAATAATAAGTACTCTTGACGGTGTGTTTAGAAACTGTGAAATTGACACTGCCAAAAAGAACTGAAACTCTACCTTTTTACCTTTAATTGCCGCTATCGGCTCCTTCAGCAATTCGATATGAAACATTTTCTTTATTCGATATCCATTATCGAATGTGATACCTTTTTTTCTAAAGAAAAATACTATCGACATATTGTCGTCCCTGACATTGTTTTTCATTGTAAACGAAAAAGAACTTTGAAAATCAATTGTGTGTTTGTAATGGGTCTTGTCATATGCTTTAAGTCGTTACAGTTTTTATGTATCACTGAGTAGCAGACTAATCAATGCTATATGTGATCGATTAAAATACAACTTGAAATGGACCAGTTGTGTTGACATAAGTAAGGGCAAAACGGATTTGCTATGGCGTATGGACTGCTCTTTAACTTATATGGTCATATTCTAGCCAGTCTAAATTATAGACTACCACACGTTTCTTACAACAGGAATGGATGGATTTATAAAACTTATTCGATTAAAGGGTTACTTTGAATGCTATGTGAATTGACATGTGTGTTGCCTCCTGTTTGGAGTGACCCGTCGGCACTTTCCTCGTCTCTAGCGACGAGGAAACAGAGCGGAATAATACGTACGTCCTGCCCCGTCGCAATGTACCGCAGGAACCGAGAGTAATACTCCATTATTAGATCTAACTTTAATAAACGAGTTCAATTAAAATTATGTTATAGATACAAAAGCGAAAAGTAAATGGATTATTTTTTACTGCAAAGTTTAGTAATTCAATCGTGTTTAATTATAACTTTATTGCATGAATGAAGTTTTCTTTAATCTACGGCCGGATTTACAATTTATTCTCTTTGTAGACGCCGTGTCTCCACCGCGCAGACTACATAAAGGCCCCAAAGTAATATTTTCTATGTTTATATTTTCTTCCTCATATTATCTTTCCCAGTGCAGGCTTTGGATATAATAAAATCCTTCAAATGAAGGGGATGTGCTGTAGTTGTAATATGAGTGCAATGTTGTTTCGACTTTTTGTCTCAAATCCATTCAATACATGCTTGAGCTCCACCACATTCTATACTTTAAAGGTTTCGTCAGGACAGGAAATAAACCTTGCAACTACACTGCAAGCGCATTGACAGAATGCATATTTAGGATTTTATCAATGAAACGCCTCTTAATATAAAGTATACGCATGCGTTGCTGTTGACGTGAAAAACTCTCCATTAAAACTTATCTCTAATGTCAGCATAGCATATCCAATACAAACAAAACCCTCTAAGGCCTAGCTTCCTGTGCGTTTTCGAGATCAATTTTGGAATTGTGATTGAGCACTCTCGCTGGCTTTAGTATTGCTGACATTGTTGTCATTTAGCTACAATGTACAACAAAAACAAATCAAACCCTCAGACATCGACATCGGAGTACATATACTGAATGGGCGTTTTCTTTTTTTATTTCACTTGTTAACCGCAAACATTTCAAGAAATATGATTTAACGTCATGATTTTACGGCATGTTGTTTACAAAAAATAAAAGAAAGCTACAAATGCGTGCTTTAACAATGTAAAAATGGTAAACATAACGGCTGGGTCAGTGTCACGATATGGTATTAAGATCGATTTTTTTAACATTAGGACAAAACAAAAATGAAATATAAACGCTTGATACAATTTATACATCTACCGTGTTTTAAAGTGACATTAAAGTGTACGACTGCGATATAATGGTCTACAATTGGCAAATGTTTTTTCCTTTAAAAATACTTATTATAAGTGAAATAAAAAACACATCAAGTGCAAAAAATTCCCCTTTTGTTATTTCATTCAGCACATCACCCGTTACTGCACACAGGGTGGCCATGATCTATTTCTCCTCAATTTATTTCCTTTGTAAATTGGTGATAGATAGTGATCGGTTTCCGCCGTAACTCTGTAACCAAGTATAAGTAATATTATGAAAATTAGCATGGTTAACGCCTAGGGTTTGAACTAAAATTAAGCGACTTCTTTTGGTTTTGAAATTTTTTGTTTAGAATTTGAAAAAAAAAAAAAAGCATCGCTTTAGTGTGGGTGTTTCAAATTTTCCTTATTCAGACAGGGTAATGGCGAGTGCCAGGAAAGGGGAATCTAAGGCTGGTTATTAGTCGGAGTAAAAATACCTTTTATCCCAGGAAGATCGATATCCTTCCGAGCGCCTTTAGTCAACAGAGGTGCGGTGTCTAGTTCAAAGTTAGGTCAACTACATTTCTACATCACATGTACCTTCAGCTCTCTGCCGGCAAAGTTCCGAGTAAAGGAAACAAAAGTACCCGAGGTTTGCCAAATGACATGAACCTCAAAGTTTATCATTATAATTTTATTTATTTGTCTTTTATGTTATTATTATTATTATTATTATTATTTTTTTTTTTGTTATAATCGCGAAATTCTTTCTGAGGCCATTCCAAAGGTCTACAGCAAATCGCCAAAGAGATAACAGAACAATTAAATACAATATTTTAATTTAAAACTGTCCTCTTTGTTCCAGCTCCCCGACAGTAACCTCTGCTCCCCCAACCCTTGCATGCACGGAACGTGCACGAGGAGCTGTGACGCGGCAGCTGGGTACACGTGCACGTGCGAGGAAGGATTTGCAGGTGCACGCTGCAATGAGTCAGGTAGGTGCACACACTCACACGCAAAACATCATACGTACAGCTGTACGTGTCTACGTGTAGATCATTTTGAAAATAATTCCATTTTTGACCTTTCCTAATTATTTTATCAAAGTCAGTCCTTCGAATTTTCTTTTGAGTTAGGCTGTTCAACATCAAACCAACAGAGGCAAAAGACGTTACCTCCTTGGTGAAGGCAATGGCCACAGTTTAATTTTTTAGCCGTCCTTGCTTGGTCCTACTTTCGACTATAGTCGTTTTGTAAAACAGGCTCAAGCGTTGTCTAAACCAGAGGTGTGAATACATTGACTTATCCACGAAGCTAATATTTATTTCCAGTCAGCAGTTGTCCTGACCGACTGCTCGCTGGGGAGAAAATCCACCGCACCGATACCAACCACCCCGACTCCCTCTGCTCTGCCAGCGGACGCTACAAGCTGTATGTGGAGACGGACGGAGATGTCGTCATTTATGACCTCGGGGAGTACATGAACGCTGATCCTCCTCAGGTGAGATACCGTGGCCTAGATGAGAACGAGGCGGTTTCTACGTCATACAGTGTTGACTGTGTTTTGAACAGTATTTTGATTTTCTTGTGTAAAAATATAGCATTCCTTGCTGCAGACGGGAAAAAGGTCCACTCAACACAAACTGCGTTTTTAACAGTTGACCAATACTTCCATATCTCCCCAGCAATGGATTAACTAAGTATTTTGCCCCCCCCCTCCACCCCATTTATTTATAATGATAAATAAGTAAAATAAAATAAAATAAAATTTTAAAAATGCCATATGCGAGGGAACGAATAATTACGTTCGAACGAAATATTTGCGAGGGAACGCAACAATTTTTACGTTCGAACGCAATCGTAACACGAAGACGAGGATGTAGCCGTCTTGGAGTGAAAGCTTAACGTTGCGTTCGAATGCAAAAATGATTTCTTTTGCACGTCCTTTTAAAAGCTCCGTAGAAAACGATACATCATGTAGTTCTCAATCTTCTTCATCAGCTTGTGTGGCACAGTAACACGTCAGGGACAAACGATGTCTACTTCACACTCCAAAACGACGGGAACCTAGTGTCCTACGATTCCGGCAACACCGCTCACTTTTCCATCGATTACACCATCATAACAGGCACGCCGTTCTCGCCCTCTCACATCGTACTGGAGAACGACGGCGGTCTCAGGTAAGGGTTCATCACAGAGTCCGCGTGGTCGTTCTTCTTCTTTTTTTTCTCAACAAATGAAACTGACACTGTTTAAGGTACATTTTACAACTTTATTTAAATACTTCAGTCCGAGATTTACTTTGCAGGAATGGCGCGTGTGGGAGGCGGGGAGTCCATTAGGGGATTAGGCAGCATTGTTTTAAGTCAGTCAGCCATATTTGATCCGCGGATTAATTTGTTCTGAATGCGGCCTTTTGCCATTTCTCAAGCTGTGCCAACTATGAGAGTTAAAAAGATTCACTTTTTCAGAAAAATACCCCCTTGGATGAAATTACTGGTCACAGGCCAGGGTTTAATCATACTTTTGTCTCAAATTTGACAGGTACTATGACGTCAATGGACTCCTTCGATGGGACTCCAAGACGGCTGCTATCACGTACATGCAAGGCACGCTGCGCAAAACCCTGGCAGATTACAACCATAAAGGTGAGTTGATAGCACGTGACCTATGACGCTGGTCGTCACGTGGCAATACGTAACAGTGGCAGGTTTGAACGACATCTTCAAATCTGACATTGGGTTTGTTTTGTCACAATCAAGGAAGGGATTCTTGAAGTTCCCTGCACGATTACATAACCTGTGAACAAAAATCAATAATGGTTTTCATTATTATTATGAGAAGCACTTCGTGAAATAGATAAGCCTTTTACAGGCCAGTCATGCATTTGATACTTGTGGATATGCGTCGTACAGCGTTTGATATTACTGTGTGCATCCTGCATTATTCTTTCTGGATAATACGTTTACAGCCACAAACAAATTATTTTTATACAATGAATTGGCAGACACTAAGCTTATTGTGCATGGCGACAGTTCACATATTGTTTGTCATATAAGATATCTATAGTCTACTACACGTACTGATACGGCTAATATACATATATCAATATTTTCATGCTGTGAATTTATATATCTACATTCAATAAAAAATAGGTATTTAAAAATTAATCGTAATAATTTTTTAATTTTGAACAAAACCGAAAGTTGCCTTCCCTTCATACCAGTCTGTGCAAATCTCAGTACCAGCCGGTACCTGCTTTTTCCCAATGTGTTATACTCAAAAGAGACACAGTTGTAATAATTCAACTTCTGTTTCTTCAATGTAAGGTTCCCCATTGGCAGTCACTGGCGGAGGCCTGCTAGTAGTTGCTTCGAAATCCTCAGTAACAACGCCAGTTACGGCACCGGTATCTACTTTATCCGCCCCAGGGGGGACACCGGTTTAGCTGCTAGGACGTGGTGTGACATGGATTTTGACGGTAACACATCATGCACGACTTACATACTGAGATCATTTTACACTGTTTTGTTGGGTTCCGCTACATAATATATCTTGCCTTAGGTTACAATGTGTGGCGCGGTGCTGTATTCTTCAGTAATTAGTTATTACGTCACATTGTGTCGCGTTACGTCGTACCTGTAAGTCGCGCATGGCTTGATTGGAGAGTGCTCTAGTTCCCAGAGTTGGGTGCCATGCTTTTGGTAACGTTAAAATATGGGCACAGTTTTGGTGTTTGCCATTGGCGCTGTTTTGTTGTTAAGCATTCACGTATTTTTATGTTTTGCAGGCGGTGGTTGGACCCTGGTTTCCTACGGCTACATGCACAGTACAGGCAACGACGGGAACAGCCGCAATTTGGTCAACATGAACAGACAAAATGGCTACAACTGGGACCCCATAAGCCGCGCCAATAGCCACGTAAATATTGTCTCATCTTTCTTTTTCTTTCTGTGTTTCTTCACTTTTTTGCTTAGGGCCTACAACGAGAGCAGGGCGGCACCATTACGGTGACCAATACTACGAACAGCATGGTGACTGGTTACCCTCTACCAGGGCCACAGATTGATTTTTCACTAGATATATACAAATATATATCTGGGGAAATTTTCAAACGTTTTTCTACTGTCCAGCCACAATTTGTCCTCACTCAGCTGGCTTCTGGTACACAGTTTTAACGGGTGACATTCTGGATTTTTTCCAGGGTTTGATACCATTGCAAGACGGCGCAATCAAAATCGCCAACAACGCCAATTATATGCTGATGGCGGCGGGAAATAACCCGACCACCGGTACGATAGACGAATACAGTCACGCCTATAAGATCGACATCAGACATAAAAAGTACACTATAACGTTTGAGAACCACAGCCACTACAAATTGGGGACACACATGCATTCTCAGGCGTAAGTAGAATGTTTTGTGATATACAGAAATCAATCCTTTGTGTTCGCTGGGTAATAGTAAGGAAACTATACATCCCAGCAAACACATAACGTTATTATAACGTTACCATAACGTTAATTTTACCAAAAAAATCGTTATGGCCACGTTATGGTAACGTTATAAAACGTTCTGTGTTTGCCGGAATTGTACTTCTTACCAGTCTTTATCGTTCATCCACCACCTCCATGACTTCGATCAAATTAAATCGACTACTCCTTGCCTATCCTGCCAATCATATACTCGATTTTTTACCTCCTTGTATTACAAGCAGTATATTAGTAAACGAGTGATGTTTTGGCCACGTAGAAGAGGTATAAGTTGTATGTTTAAACTATGTGAAGAAGCCAAGTTTTACTTTGCAAATATGTAAAATACATAGTTCGAAATCTAAATCTAAATATAGCCTATCTGTAAACTTCCGAAAATCTAAACCTCAGGTATGTTAAAAGTCAGTCTCAAATTAGAAAGGATATACAGTATGGAAATGAAAGGGTGGCCATTAGTTACGCATTGAGATTATTGTCTGTTTATGAACTTTGGCCAGGTATACCGTGACTGCCATGAAAGGAGAATCTGGAACTGCTACCCGATACGCCCTGGCTGAAGCCCTGGGTGAGTCGTTCTCTCTCTCTACAGTTAACGTTTTAACGTTAATTAAAATGGGTCAAGTAACGAGCATGCTTCTTCAGTAATTGTCTAATCTAAATTGTGTTACAATGAAAGGCTCGAGTTTCAAGCTATGCAAATTGTGTTAGAAAAGGCCATTCTATTGCGACTATTGACTAAAACAATGCTCTGTAACACACTCCTACCCTTTTCCTAGGCGTCACGTGGTCAAGCTCGTTCCCCGCTGGATACGGATTCAACGAGAACGACCAGTTGTCCGGATCATTTGACAAGGGTCCGTTTTTTCCCTCTGTTCACTCTGGAAGTGGGACGTCTTGTTCATGCACGTGCAGCAAGTGGGACCCGGATGTGACTGGAGGAAATCGCTGTTACTCACACCGAGGCTGGTACTCTCTGAACGGCAACGGGTACACGGGAGCCATGAGCATTTGGTTCAAGTGATTTCAGACGGAATAACTTTATAACCAAAAATTCAAGTATTTTAATTGACATTATTATCACCAAGTATGGGTTATTTGCTCTGTTCAAAGACAATATTCCCCAACTTTGCATTTTGTTACAACATTGAATAATTAAGGTGTAATCATTTAAGTAAAAGAATCAAATAAGAATTAAACAATGGAAAATACGCATAAAAATCTATGGTCATTATAATTTGAAGATGTATTTTTCAACTTACTACAGAATTTGATATTGAAATTGATACCTTATTTTCATATTTTCTTTGCCACGTTTTGTGAACTCCGCTGTTTGGAATGGCTTAATTGGCAGGCAATTCATTGGTTCATAAATAATTTTACTTCTTTTATTTGTAAGATTAGGATACGCACAGGGCTGCTTCAAAAGATATGAGACTCGCTTCTATTAAAAAAAAAAAATACTTGGGTTAAATGATTCAGTATTAATATTTATAGTGTTCAGGTGTGCTTGCTGTCATTTCTTGTAATTTTTTGGATCATTTTATCCTTGTTTCTGTTCGCATATAAAATTTTGGGCATCTTTCCTACCGATAGAGGTAGATGTGCACCATTGGTCCTTTTTTAAAATTATATTTCTATTTATTTTTTATTTATTTATTTTGCTGTATTGGATTAAAATATGACAATACTTTTTACCTGACTCCGATATTTTCGTTTCAAGGGAGAATATATTACGTCCGATATAATTCCCTTGTCTGACAAAGCCTGGTGTACCCCCTATTTTAAAGAATTGTTGAATAAAATGACGATCAAATTAATTGAGTTATGTGTTTGTCTAAATATGTCTGACAGTATTTACATTTAGCACTGCTCGCAGGGGCCAAATTACCGAGATGAATTACTGAAATATACCACCATATTGCTACATAATACGAAGAGAATAAACATTTATTAAGACAAGAGAAATTGTAAATTCACAATGACAATAAATATTGTATTCAATATGTACAAACGGCTACATACATACATTTAATACTAGCAGGTTCGCCTCTTTAACTTGCTTGCCTAGTGTTCTCTCATCTCATTGGGCCACTTACCGTTGATAGTCACGTGTACTATCTATCTGACCACTAAAACCTCTTTTAACATTATATGCGTACACGTAACGCGCACGTATAAGCCAACATAAAGTAAAAAAGCTTCTTAATACTAATGGCGCTTGCGTATAACGTTTTAAAAGTTCCAATATATGAATATAGCAAAATTTAATCGGAATACAGGTATGTCAAGGTACAGCCCTTAATAAATTATTCCCGCAAATGGCTTTCGGGTTGTGAGCATTCATTTGGTTTTCTGTCTGCTGCTACTTTTAGGAAATGAAAGAATAAATTGTTTGTTAACAATTGGATTATACCTGAACCAGTGGTAAAATCTGAGGTAATTTGTACTAAGAACATTTAAATGTTAAGTTGTTGGCACCCCAATATTCAGTGTCTCCTTAGACACTGTTTTCAGGGAATGAGGGAACAGGCATACATCACCCAAACCCAATATAGAGGTGCAAACGATGTCACAGACATGTTTCTAAAAATATGTAGTGCACAGATTACAAACTATGTTTGATTATTTTAGGGTCCCACATAAAGAAGTTTGTATTAAATTTTCACTTTCCTGGAACCACGAATAATAACAAATAATTCATCATCTAACCCCAAAAAGGAACATACGTTACTGTCACAAATGCATAACGTCTATCTGTTGAAGCGTTTTAATCACTTTGAAAATTCAATCATCACGGGGTTTGTTCTTTAATTTATCTCCTGCAAGTATAACGTTGTAAAAAATTACGAAAAGCTTCTGTATAGAGCAGTTAATTGTTTTTTAGCGACTTAAGTTTGCCTGTCACTGAATATTAAAAAAACGGGGAAAATACACCCTACCGACAGTAAAATAAGCATTTAATAAATTATTTTTCCCCTCGTGCTCCAAATATTATATCTGAAATGTCAAACTATCATGGAATCACTATATATTTTTCTGTCAGCAAAAGAAAACATTGTTTTCTCTTGCACCAAGTACTTGTACAAAATGAAACATTTTGTCAATTTTCCTAGGGAACATACGTTACCTAGTATTAGCTATGACGCAGGCCCCATTAGTTACGGTTTAAATGTTTATAAAAAACGTCCTTACGTCATATTTAATTTAACATGATCGAATCACTTTAAAATATATAAGAACACGTTATGAAAATAAAAATTAGGTGGCCTGGAACATACGTTACCGGAACATACGTTACCAGTGAAAATCTACTTGTGCCCGAAACTGGCTCCGAAAGAAAAATTAGCTTCTGTTTGAGATGTCAGGTGGTTCTTTCTGACGTCTGCTCGAGCTAAAGATTAGATGAGGTTAGTTACAAGTGTAAATAAATCCATAAAATCCTCAGTAACGATGTAGGCGAAGTGAATGATTTTGTCGAAATAAAAAATTAAATTCAAATACAGAAATGAATGTCAAAGACGGAAATAAATGTCAAACAAAACTATGCAAGGAAAAAATAATCGCCAACGAGCGCAGTGAGCGCAGTGCCAAATACATTGATACCGAACGGAACATCATTATTTCAGAAAAATGCGAAAACAAGAGCTGAGATTTGAAAAAAATATCGATCTCGTAAAAAAGAAATGAGGGTGACGCTTATTTGGAAGCGAAAGAAAACGGGTTCAAAATACTATGTAGGCCTACCTTCCGCCTCCTTATAAATGTCGTGAAAGACAAAAGAGGCATGCGAAGTCTAAATCGCGAAAACGTAGACATCACCAAAGGAAAGAAGAGCTCCTAGCTCCTATAGTAGTTGCCGAGGCAAGTCCACAGCAATCACCACTTGTTGTGTGTGCAAGGTGGTCACAACGTGGAAACGATTGAGAAGAAACTGTAGGCAGTTACAATGTACAAATAAAGAACTACAATCACAGGTTAATGCCATAAGCAAGAGGGAGAATGCTATCCGGCAACGGTTTAGCCATTGTAGAAGACGAAATATGGAACCACCTGAATTTCCCACATGGCCCAAAATTAAGACAGAACGCATCATACAGCAGGCTATGCACTCAAGCTAACACTGTGCAGAAACAATTACTTTTATGTCTCCTCCATCCTAGTGTACCACAAACTTTCATAGTCTTATTTATAACAAAAAGAAGGCAACAAAGAATATCGATTGTTCAAGATTTGGTCAAACAAGGCGGCTTTTATTTTATAACCCCCCTACCCTAATTATTTTAGCAATAATGACAATGTAGCAAATTGTTGCCTTTATCCTTAGGGATAAAAATAATATTATATATACATATAATATTTAATAAGATTAATCATCCTAAAAATATGATGACTTATAGAAAATGTTTTTTTAGCTACAGTGGGTCAAGTTTAACGAGTTACACCAAGAAGTAAGATGAAAATTGTGCATAATATAGTAGCTGAGAAGATTGCGAAGACGTAGCGTTGTCTCAGATTTCTTTCCGCTGCTACTGGTATTTGCCGGAATCGTTGGTCGAGAACTCGCGAAAAGGGGATGAACTGGTCGAAAGGTCGACGGATGGGAGTAGCAGGAATAAAAGGCAAGCTGTATACGATTTTTTGAACGAGACGACTATAGTAGAGCCCAAGAGCGCCAGTAACCAAAATAAAAAATTCATCGAACACGTTGGCAGAGTAAAAACACAATATGAACATCTAAGAAATCTCAAGGAAACTTTTACAAGAAATCATGCAGCCTATAATTTGTCTTAAATAGCGACTGATAAGGACCGTAGAGACCCTTGAACTCTAAAATGATATCTGTTTCTTATACTCACTCAATGGNTGGTGAGTGACGAAATAACAAACGGGCGCCATTTCGTCGTTATAATGGTGTTCCTTCACCTTCAGGATGGAGTGTTTGGGATAGAGCGCCAGGGGAAGAGGCTCGTGGTGCTCGGCCGCCTCCTCCTGCACAGCCTCGCCGAAGTGAACGCTGTGATTTGCGGAAGAGAAACTGCTGGAACGCGGGCGCGATTCCTCATCTTGATCCTCTCCGGAGGACCCGCTGGAAGAGCTGCTTGAACTTAGATCTTCGTCTGCGATCTTGAGTTTTCGCGTTCTCTCAATGTAGTGGCTGAAACTTTTCGCTCTCGGTCGCTGGCCGTCTCTAGATGGCGGGCGGTTCGCTTCATCGGCACGCGTCAGCCCAACGCTGCTAAAACGCTTTTGAGAAGAGGTTCCCGCTCGTGGGCTTAACATCCCGTCCTCTCCGCGGAGTCGTCTGCTGGCGCTGTGCAGCTTTTCTGAACTGCCCAGCGGTGACTGTGAGGCATCAATCATTTCAACAGACCTTCTCCTATTTTTAGCAGAAACTTCGGCTAATTTCTTTTTATTTTCTGCGATGAAATTTTTCTTCTTTTCGTTGCCCGATGGTTTTTGTCCGTCGGTCTCGATCCTGGGCAGTAGAGAATTCCTGCGCAATTCATTCCGCGCACCGTGAGAGAAAGACCTCTCCCTTGACATTTGTTCCGCGTGATCTGCGCTGTGTCTCTGGTCTCGAGATAAAGGCGGTGAGTGCGAGCGGGAAAGCAGACGACTTTCTGCCGACAATCGAGAACTTTTCCTCCGGGGCACCTGAACGGGTGACGTAATGGTCGGGAAGCGTGAGCCGTACTCGCCTCTGTCGGACGACGAGGAACTGTCGTCATCCTTTTGTGGCTGATCAAATGTTTCGATATATTTCTGTAAAGTAACTGCTGATTGGTTGACACTGCTACCGAGATGCTCGGGTTCCTTTGACGTCAGATCTGCAATGGTTTCCTTGAATGTTCCGGAAACCCCCGGTGGAGGGGAAATTCCCATCACAAGATACCTGTCACTGGTGTTTTTGGGTATATTTGTTACTACTTTCGGGTTAAGAGAATGCTCAATAAATTGATTATAACATTGTCCAAGGGAAAACCGACGATGCTTAAAGTCACCTTTCGCTAGGTGAACTTCGAATGGTTCGGGAGGTTCAGGGGTCATTAGAACGTCCACGGCGCTACCCCGTCGTCTATGTGAACTACCGTGACGTGATACCGCGTGCAACGTGTGGGTGACGTCACGCGCTCCTTTCATTTCATCTAAGTTTGATCCTGAATAGGAATATTCAGAAGATGTGTGATCGTCAATGCTGGTCGCCATTGGTGTAGTTGAGTCTATTGAAGAGTTGTCCAAGTCTTTCATCATATGAGAATTGTAGTTGTAATTATCCTCTGGGTTCTCGCTCAGAGTTGCTAACGCCAATGGAGAGACATGATGGCCGATCCGTAACGGAGCCATACTGCGCAGCATGGAGACCTGGAATCATCTAGAAACAGAAACAAAATGGAAAGTCAGACGTGGGCAAACATCCAGATTGGCGGTGCCATTTCGAAACAGCTAAAATAATTTTGATATTTATATATTTATAAAAATGAAACGAAAGAAAGAAAAGCCAGAAACTGTTCGGATCTTAAAATTTAAATAAAATCCTACCGTTTACAACAAATACCATGTTATTTTCAGCTGAAGTTTAAAAGCAAAACGCGTATTCGTCAAAGGTAAAAATAAAGCTCGTACTAAACTGACCGAGAACTTTCCAATGCCAGCGTATCGACAACAGCGCTATATCAAGTCCAATAATGTGCTTTCTTATCGATATCGCGCGATAACAGAGAGTGTGTACACGTCAATAGGCTTTTGTGATAGAAGGTCAATTAATTAACTCCAGTCAATTGGAAGTAAACTTTAATAGCGCAAATTTGCTACAGTGTTACCCCATTTTCCCTTTCGTGTTTGTTTTTTTATTCTCTTTTTTCGCTGACACCGACAGGGGTGAAATTGCACGAGGTGAAATGCGCCGAATAAAACCCCCGCCTCTCTCTCTCTCTCTCTCTCTCTCCCTCTTAAATACTGAGTATATATATATATATATATATATATATATATATATATATATATATATATATATATATATATATACTTGTAGCTGTATTTACATAAGCACTGGTGCTGCTCATTCGAGCGAAAGGTTGGCATTTCATAATGGGCTAAATTTTTATCAACAATGTTATATTCGCTTATCCCTGTTTTTTTTTGTTTTTGTCAGCGACTTAAAAGCCCTTTGCTGACATATTTATTTTAAAAAAACTTGGAAAAAACATAAAAAAAGAGAAAAACATAAGCCACGAGTCTAACATAAAGGTAACTAAACATGGTATTTACTATATCTTAAACGGGAACATGCGCATCATATCAGGAATGCGCGGATCAAAAAACGATTCTTGTACATTAACCCTTCCCCAGTAACAAAGAACACAGACCCACGCAGTGGATCACGGGGGCTAAGTTCGCTTTGACCGCCCGATACCTCCTTCAACTTAAAAATAGCCGTTTATCAGAAGTTTGGTCATTAACGTTACTGATCGATCGAATCTGAAGTTATTACTTATTTAAGCCTCACCTCCTATGTATAAGGTCATAGAAGTTAAGTCAGCTATCAGCGGAACGCTTACAAATGGGCTATTAGCACAAAATGTGGATGGTGAGGCTTATGCCCTTAGAAAAAGTAATATTTTATGTCTAACCTGTGTAAAAATAAACTGGTTAGATAGTTTGTTACTGACTGAGACTAAAATTTTGATAAAGTAAAAGAAAAAAATATTCAACCCAATAGGCGAATAGGTCAACTTGCAGGCGGATTACGGCGAACTTCTACCCTTCAGAAAGACTGAGACTATGTGAGCTTTCTTCCCTTTTATAAGCAACCAAAGCGACGTTGTAACCTC